TTGTCTTTCCTTTAACACTCAGATTGAGTGTTAAACCGTCCAATCCAGCCTCAGTTTTAGTGGGAAACTGAGGAATAAAGAAGTCTGGAGTGGCCGGTTTGCCGGGTTTAGGGTTTAAAGGTGGAGGAATCAGAGGCCCGTGACCCTAAAAGAACCAGAGCACACCATCTCCCAAAGAGACAGAAAAAGAAAAAGCTAGATGGCTTTTCTGGAAAGCCTCTCCATTTCCCCAATCTCCAGGGAGCCCGGTCAGAGCTTTCCATCCCGAGGGAGGCCGCTCTGCCAAAGCTGGGAGGGCGGAGGGGGGGGAGGGCGTGGGACTGGACTCAGGCTCTGACCCGGCCGCCTCTAAAGGGACCCCGGACTGCATCGGCCCTGGAGAACCCACATCCCCACTACCATTCTCTTCCCAGACACTCAGCTCATGTTTGATAGCAGATTAAGGACGTCCCGATCCAGCTTTTTGATCTGATCCCGGCCTATCAGAGCCTGTACTAAAGTCTAAAGTTCTTTATCTACTTACTTAGTTGTCAGACTCATGTTGAACAGGGATTTACTCTGATAACAACTTAATGGTTAGGACACAGACCTGTGGGTTACACATGCTAATGCTAATGGTGGTAGATGCTCCTACTACCACCATTAAGGGCCTAAATTAGAATCCAGCTGGAGGTGGAAGCCTTGGAAGATACCATTGTTCTAAAGACTGCTTCCATCATTTGATTCCAGCTGCCCTGACCCAGAGCCAGAGATGGAGGGGAGTCGGGTCCTAACGTGGCTTCAATAACAGGGTTCCCTCACCAGGGCCGACCAGAAACTCAGACCGGTTTGGTTTTCCTCCCTCCAGACGATGTGGATCTGGAGGAGGAGACGGGTTAATGGCTGCTCCTCACTCTGTGTGAGACACCAGGAGCTGGAACTCCTGATCCATGAGATTCTACCACCAGGGAAAAATCCTCTCAAAAAGGGGCAGACAACACACAGTTGCACATCAGAGTAAGAGTCTCTGGACCCCTAACGGTCCAATAACGTGCACATTTGGCTCATATTTCTCAGTTTTCTCCTCTGGCTTTATCAGACCCTCTCTGCTCCACAGCATTCTTTCCTCCTGGAGTTTCCTCGTCCGGTTTTAGCTTCTCATGCTAACGTTCTCGGGCCGTTTTGATTTTTTAAGGAAGCCATCAACGAGACCAAACAGGCGCCCCAACAAAGAGCTTTAAACGCACAGAGGCAGCTTCAGATCTGACAGACATTCATGTATGTTATTCTGCACATGCATCCATAACATGCAGCTTATTTCAGCTAAACTGGCCTTTTCCTCTCACTGATCACATGTTTGCACATGTTTGTAATAAAGGGTTTTTATGTTTTTCCTCCATGATATGTGTGTAATAACCCCTGACTTTAGCCTCCATTCGCTGCTTTATAGGAAAGAACTGAGAGCAGCTTTTGGGGGGAACCTAAGCCTCCACTGAGAGCAGCTTTTGGGGGGAACCTAAGCCTCCACTGAGAGCAGCTTTTGGGGGGGAACCGACGGGCTTTGGGGACTAACAGCAGCTAAAGGGTTACAGCTCTTTGTGGTTCCCGTCCAGGACTGACTAACAGTAATGAAGCACAGATGTGGCTGGTGCTGTAAACACTTCCAGCCTCACTCTCTCCTGAGAGGGGGGAGGGGGATGGGGGGTCTGCTTCCCACCGCTCAGACTGAAGGTCTGAAGCCGGCCATAACTCACTTCTTTGGGCTTCTTTTAGTTTCGTTTACGTCGAGTATGCTAACAAACCTCTGCAGCCAAAGAGAGGGAATGAAGACAGATCTTTACTGGAAAGGGCTCTGTCCAGAGCTGGCCAGCCCTGGCTCTCCGTTTCCACTCCAGTGTGTCTCTACTCAAGCTACGAGCCCTGGCAGCAAACACACAACAGCCAGAGAGACCATTTGTTTTGGCCACCGCGACAAAAAGCAGCATGCCGAATCCTGAAATCTGTTTGGAGGAATCTGTTCAGAAAGGGGGAAAAACAAACCCCACCGGGAAGGTGTCACTTCTCTGAGGACAGGCCCGTTCGACCAGCTGAAGGTGGGCAGAGATACACGAAGAAGAGGCAGGGGAGGACAAAGGAGGAGGGATGTGAGGGGGGGGGACCTGAGAGGCAGCAGAGTCTCGTTCTGGTTCCTCCGCCTGAACAACATGGGAGAGTCCAGAGTCCGAACCCGCACCAGCATTAGCATTAGCATTAGCATCTGTAACCCACAGGTCTGTGTCCTAACCATTTAGTTGTTATCAGAGTAAATCCCTGTTCAACATGAGTCTGACAACTAAGTAAGTAGATAAAGAACTTTAGACTTTAACACATGCTCTGATAGGCCGGGAGTAAAATTGGGCGAAATTCACATTTTTTCCCCTAAAATGTGCAAAATCTATTTTTTACCCTACAGTGTAAATATTTACAGTTTTTACCCTAAAATGTGCTAAATTTACCTTTTTTTTAACCATAAAACATGCTAAATTTAGAGCTTTTACCCTAAATGTGGTAAATTTACAGTTTATTTACAGTAAAATATGCTAAATTGAAATTTTTCCCCGGAAAATGTGAGTTAATCCCTGTTCAACATACTCTGACAACTAAGTAAGTAGATAAATAACTTTAAACTTTAACACATGCTCTGATAGGCCGGGATCGGGATCAGAAAGCTGGATCAGGACATCCCTACAACAAGCACCCACAGACGAGTTTGAAGCATTTCTGAAGGCTGGTAGATAATCTAAGTTTTCCCAACCATATCCGGGTAAAAGCGACTAAAAGCAAATGTACAACAACCCCCCCCCTCCAACAGGCAACATCGATATGGGCCAAACCCCACAGCTGAGGGGGAAGTTTATCCCGGTCCCACACTGGGACGGCAATCTGCTGCCGGCTGGAGCAGGAGGCTCCGGTCGGTCGGCCTGCCGGGACCCGGCCGGCCGGTGCCAGGTGGGGGGGGGGGGGGGGGGGGGGGGGGGGGCGAGGGGGCGGAGCTTGCTCTGTCTGATGTCATAAAACAGGGGCTCTGCACCCCGAAACCAGCCGGAGGGGTTCGTCTTTTCGTCTTTCAAAGACTCGCTTTTCTCCGCCCGGGCGTTTGTGAGCCGACCTGTTCTGGGGCGTGGGCCCTGGAGGCCTCCACCCAGCCGGCTCCAGGCTCCGTCAGGGCTGGGGGGGGCGGGGTGGAGTGGAGTGGGGGGGGGGGGCTGGCAGCCGGCCCAGCCGGCATACTGAACACAAGTGTGGAGGCAAACAAAGCGAGCCTGGCGGAGAGAGAGCGGGCGAGCGAGCGAGCGGGGAGGGGCGGGGCTTGGCCGGGGCTTTTATGGCGGGATATAACTCACCCCCCTGTAAACAGGGAGGCGGAGCAGAGCCGGCTGCTCTACGTGGGCACGCCGGGGCAGGAGGAGGCCGGGGAGGGGGGGAGGAGGCTGGAGGAGGGCCGGGGGGGGGGGGACCTCCTTCCAGCTCCATGCTCTGAGAGCTGGAAGTGTCCCACCGAAGGGGAGCACCTGACCTTTAGAGCAAAAGGCTAGCTGTCAAACACCTTTAGCCTGACGCGCCCCCCCCAGGGGTTAGTCCGTCTGGATGCAGGAAGCCAAGGATGGATGTCAGACTCCGCCCATATCCAAGGCGGCCATTTTGATTAAGTCACCAATAGGAAGATCCCAGACAAGAAAATGGTAATTGCTTCATGACAATATAGACATTAGTTTAAAAATAGTTAAATGAATCTTGCAAACACTGAATTAAACTCTATATCCATAATATTATGTTAAAATAGTGGATGTTAAATAGGTTTGTACAAGAAGTCCAAACAAGTTTAACCAAAAAATATTTATTTCTCACAATTATGAAGGGTCAGGGTTAGGGTCAGGTTTGGGTTTAGGGTTAGGGCTAAACTCTATCAATAATATCATGTTAAAATAGTGGATGTTATGGTTAGGTTTAGGGTTAGGTTCAGTGTTAGGGTCAGGGTTAGGGTAAGGACATCTTTTATCTTGTGATTTCGTATAGACGGTTAAGTTTCGTTTCCACCTGAGAAAGCTGCTAGTCACATGACCTAATCAAAATGGCCGATGTGGATGTGGGAGCAGTTGGATATCCTACAGACTGCAGCCAGAGGCTGCTTCCCTGGGTCGGGGAAGGGCTCAACAAGCCCCGCCCACCACGCCGGCTGACGTCAGAGCGACCGCTCAACTTCAAAATACCAAAAAACTAAAATACCCACCGAGGGGAAGAGGGACAGACAACAGGCACTCACCTCCTCCAGCTGTTGTCCGGCGGTGGGGACAGGTACACGGCTCCGTACGGGGAGCTCTCCATGTGGGTTAGGGTTAAGGAAGCAGAGGGCACGGACACAGAAACACCACTACAGCTCAGCTGCAAGACAAATTATTATTATTTATGATTTATCATCTATGTCAGGGGTCGAAATCCGTGGGAATCTGGTGTTAGCCAGCAGGGCTAACAGCTCTGAAAAGATGTTAGCTACCAAAAGCAGCCCGTATTTCTTTGTAGCCTCGTGTTCATATTCAGAAACCAATACTCAGAAAATGTTCTGTCAGTAGATCTCCTGGAACGCTGTGGTCGCTGTGCTGTAATATAATATTATTAAAAACGTTTTCAGCTCCTCTCGCTTGGCGGCGCAACCACGTCATGCCTCCAACGATTTCATAGAAACTATGAGAAACTGCAGGATAACATGGAGGACGATGGATTTAAAATGAAAAGGTTTTGTTTTTTGTGTAGATTCCCTGTTTATGTTGCATATATTTGATATAAAAATTTAATTCACGACCCAAACTAACCCAAACACACCCAAACTGATCCAAATCAGTCCAAAATGGTCCAAAAAATAACATGGCGGGACGATAGATTTCCAATGAAAACTTTTTCTTTCTTTTTTTTGTTGATTCCCTGTTTATTTTGCATGTGTTTGATATAAAAACTTCCTTTGCCAACCCGTCCTACCCCACGGAGCTGAGCACACAACCCAGACTAACCCAATCCAGCCCAAAACGGACCCAAATCGGTCCAAATCAGTCCAAAATCAGTCTATGAGAATGACGTGCTGTAAAAGGGAATTATCAGCGTTTAATGCAACAACAGGAACAGACTACTGGCTTTCTGAAAGGCTTCAGACTGAGCAGAGCTCCTGGAAGAGCAGGTCAGAAGGACGCTGGTGTTTTGTGCGAACGAAAGCTCCTTTTTTTTCTTTTACTTTTTTCTTTTGATTTCAGCTCCTCTGCTCTGTACACGGTGGCTCCTCTGGGCTGAAACACCTTAGAGCCGGGCCACAGAGGGCCTGTCTCCACAGCCCGGAGCTCTGTTGCCACCAAACACGGGATGAGACCCTCAAACAAAACGTACACAAACAAAACAAAAGTGGGAAGCACTGCGAGGCCCGAGCCGCCCTGAACACAGCACAGAACAATCCAGTAAAACAGGATCCACATTTCTATAATTACAGACTCTGGCTAAATCATGCAAACAACACCTGTGGCTTGGGGACGAGCCCCTTTTTCACACCTTTTAATGGCTCAAAGCTAGCAGGTTCACCGGGTTTTTTGGGGCTTTTCTGGTTTAGTTTAGACGGAGAACGACTCCCACTCCATGGCGACAGGTCACCGGGTCACATCTGCCCGGCGGCAGACGCACAAAACAGCAACACAAACAAACAAAAACAACCCAAAACGCTCCGGCCTTCGCTCTGCCCTTTGGCCTCTGCTGCTTTCTGAACAGCAAAGCCAGCCAATTAAAAATAAACGATCCTAAACAGAACTAAACAATAACCAGATTACGACAGCCTGGAGACGGGGCTTAAAATCCTGATTCATTCTCCAGGACGGTGAGTCCCATTCACAGAGGTTGCTCTGCTTTCCCAAAGCTTTGACAAACCAGTGGGTTCTTTCCAGCTTTGCATCTGCAGCTCCTTGTTCACTGAGCTTCACTGGCTAACTCCAAAATCAGGTCCTACAAAGTGCTTAAGGGTCCGGCTCCCGTCTACTTGAACCCTCTTGCAAAGGCATTGGTTTGGATAAAAGCGTCTAAATGCAGACACATAAACATAAAAGCCCCA